TCTGCACCAGGAATCCCAGGCTGGACCTGGAAAACTCGGCGTGGGGGACTAGAGGGCAGCGAAATAAAAGCTTTCGTGCTCGCAGACGGGAGCGCCCTCGGCCGCGCGCCGCCCCGGCAGGCCCCTCCTCTGGGGCAGCGACGTCCTCCTTGCTCTGGGCTTGATTTATTTTATTTCATTTCATTTCTTTGTTTTTAATTTTATCTCCCCTCAGAGGGGCAGTTTTATCCTTGTGGTTGCAGCTCCCCGCGGCCAGGACGGGGAGGCCCAGCGGGGCACGAGCCATGCGCACCCCACACCGAACACCCCGTGTGGGTCCCTGCGAGTGCCCGGCACCATGCAGGGGTCACCGTGGGCCCCAGCGCCCCTTCCCCGCCCGTTCTGCACGGTGGCTGCGCGGGTGAGCCCGGACTAGCCAGGCCGACCGCACGGTGCCGAGCACAGAGCCGGAGTGGGGAGCCCGGCTCTCCCCCATAAACCCTATAAACTCCCATAAACTTCCCATAAACATCGTAACGTCATCGTGACATCATAATGTTGTCATTGCATCGTGACATCATCATGACACGGCCATCGTAAGAGCGGAAACTGCTGGTTGTTGGCTGCATAACAACAGAATCCGTGGTGTTTTGTTACACTATGTGGCACAGCATGTCTGCTCTTAATGAGCAGACCCCAAAAAACAAAAGGTTTAGGACACAACTATTTTTATAAATATCCCTTTGCTGCACTTTTTGTGGGATGATAAGCATTAGCCTGCTGTGAAGACTGCAATGACCAGTTGAATGTCAGGATCCTGACAACACCAGTTACCCCAAAACACCCCTAAACAGCTGTGAAATGGTGCTCACCTGCCTGGAAACCCCTCACAGATTCACAGAATGGTTGAGGTTGGAAAGGACCTCTAGAGATCATCTAGTCCGACCCCAAGGCAACTAGATGCCCCTCTAGGGGTCTAGCCAACCATCGAGCCACCTAGAGGACCCTCTAGGCCATCTAGTCCAACCACTCCCCGTGCAAGCAGCCTCCCTAGAGGACCGAGGCATTCGGACAAGAGTGAAAAGCAGCAAAATGTCACATAAAAGCAATAGATTTGGATGCTGAGGTTTGCGGAGGCCCTGCTCCATTTTTTTTTTTTTTTTTTTTTATCCTGACTGCCTTGTTCTAGACACACAGGTGATATTGGGGGAAACGGTAACAAAAAGCAGCTGATCGCTCTGCAGCTGCAAGGTGCTAAATAAATGCAAACGACCCAGTCCAGCCTTCCTTTACTTTAGCAGAAGTTTGACTGTGCCCCAGTTTGTGATTTCTCACCCTCACGTGGCAGGCAAATAACAAGGGTCCATGCTGGGACACAGGGCACGGCCTTTGGAGCTGGTTCTTCGGGAGAAGACAAGGCCATTTAACTACTTCCAAGCTGAGCATCAAGTGATATAAAGTGATAATTTTTGTTGAGATTTCTTCAGATTTGGATGATTCAGAGGAGCCTAGATTTTAAAATTCAGATGTTTTGTAAGGGATGTTGTGCTTGGCAGGGGTGAACATTAGCCTTGTATCTCCAGAGATGATGTAGTTTCAGTATGAGGAAACCTGGCCTCCTGTAAACACTATTTGAGGTTTGAGCATTGTGTAATATCATGTCAAGTGCTGATTCACAGTTTCAACACCTTGCATTGCTGATGCAATACGACCCCATTAGGCTACAGTTTGGCTCCAAGGGAAAGGGACAACTCTGAAAAATTGTAACAAGATTCTTTTTCAAAGAAAGATGGCATTGTTATCACATGGGTTTCAGCCTTGATAAATTAGACAGGTCTCATACAGAAAACTAAAGAGCCACTCATTCTGTGGGAGCCTGTGACTGTAGAGGTTAATTCATTGATTTTTCCCTAGCTCAGAAGCAAGCTGTTAGTTCACAGTTTTGAGTGAAATTTTTATCAATAGCAAAGTCAACTTAAGGCTTCCATCCTCACGTAGCAAACAAAACAAATGTGCAACTTCCCTGGGTGGTGCTTAGCTGGAGCAGATTTTGGATAAAAACACTTTTAACAGAGGTCAACTTTAGTGTTAGTGGAACACAAGATCTTCTGCTGATCCAGGTTGTCACCTGCCTGCTAAAGAGATGGTTTGATTTTTTGGGAGGTGTGTGAGGGAGTGCCATTAAATGACATGAGCTCACATGATGAATACATATCTGAGAAACCTTAAGGATTTGTGCGTGCCCCTGGAGGCCAGTCTATATGTAATTTTATTAAATGAAAATAACTTACCTAACAGTTTGTTGCAGGACAAATCCTAAAATGCGTTTTCTTTTTACATTTCTTTTTAGTGCAAAAGTGTAGTTCAGTGTTTTCAGGCAGCAGCAAGAGAAGAGCAGCTCCACGTGAGAAGATGAGTGGGCACCAAATACAGTAGGCAGAGGTGGTCACTAGCAACAGGATCTGTCAATAACACCAGACAAGGGATGAATCCTGTCCAATTAGCCACAACAGGAGGAAGATTAGACAATGATATAGGTCCAGGCAGACCTACTTAGGTAACTCTGCCTGAGCTTAAATAGAGATCCTGGCCTGATCTGCAGAGGGTTGAGTGAGTGAGGGTACCAGCTGGAGCTGATCACATTTAAAACCTATTAGTTCACTCAGGGCCTTGGAAGGAAAACCCAAGAATTTAGGAATATTACTTTTTTATTTATGCCTCTTTTAACATCCACAAGAGTTCCCTTCTTTAGCCTCAGCAGCTGCAATAAAGCTAGTCCTTACTGAGTTTCCCATCTTTCTCATCTCCTTTCCTCTTGCACATTCCATGAGATTTTTATTGTCTTCAAATCACAATTTGTCATTGTTCCTTTTTCCCCTTGCAGGCATGAGCTTATGCAGACATTGCTTCCAGGTGCTGTCGGACTGCAGAAGGCCAATTGTTCTTCAGGCTACAATCTGTTAAAAAGATGTAACTGCTCAAAATTTTCTTCCCTCTCTGCAACAGATGTCAACCTTTCTGCTTTTTAGTCGAAATTACATGTGCAGGGCTATTTCATCTGCATTGGAAAATCATCAGTGACAAAAGCTCCGTTTCTAAGACAATTAATTTCTTTTATTTTCAGTATTTGTGGTAGTAAATAAACAAATGGAAAAGGTTGTAATATGGATATCCTGGGAAATTAGAAACATAAAAAATCATAGAAATATCGATGCAGGAGTGACCTCTAGTCCATCCCCATCCTCTATGAAAAGGATCAAGTCCTGTGTATAAAATAGGTCTGCATATTTATTTCTAATTATGTGCTGCTCTAAAGCAGCGTTCACACACGTGTATCATATATAGCTCAGGGAAACCGCTGCAAACCAGAAGTTTCACAATGTGCCAGCTGCTCAGAACAGAAAGTTATGCTTTTTCTTTTAATAAACAAATTTCTGTAACTACCTGCTAAATGATTATTCCTGTCCTTCCCACAATGAACACACAGAAAAACTGATCATTTTCCTTTTCAAGGCAGCCTTTATGAAGACTATTAGTTATCCTCTCTCAGTCTTTTTTATGTTAGACAACAAAAATTCCTGCTTTTGATTTTGTATCACCTGTCTATATTTCTCAAATTCCAGTCAGTTTTGTTGCCCTCCTTTTGACTCCATATGAAATGGCTCCATTATTTTTTGAGAACGTGACCAAAATAGGATTCCTGCTCTGGTATTCAAAAACATTTCAATGCTATCTTCCCTTTGTTTTATGCTTGCCAAAAACAGTTGTGAATGTGCAACATGTGTAATACAAGCACAATTTCAACACAACAAGCAAATTCTGATAGAAGTGTTATTTATAACTTGATAGAAGACTTGATAACTTTACACTTGATAAAAGTGTTATTTATGTCTTACAACTATTTTGGAGCTAGAAAGTCAAAGGACTAGACTGAAACATCTTGGTTTACTTTCATTATTAACTTGAAACAAAGTGTAAATTAATAAAAATTAAATTAATTAAAATTTTAAATTATAATTTAAATTGTAATTAAAGTATAATTTAAATTGTAAAGTGTAAATTAATAAAAGCAAGGTCATCTATTACCTCTATTTTCATAGAGGCATATAACACTGCAGATAAGGACATTGATTGCCACATACAGTTCAAGTAACTGTTCCTTTATTTAAGGCTACCTAGAAATCTTTGATTAGAAGATCACTGTTGTAACAGCAGGAAAATATGGGGTTTTGTACACCGATAGATTTAATTATCTTGATTGAAATTTTCCATTTCAAGAATCAGAGTTAATCTGAATTCTGGAAAGTATTATTTTCAATAAGAGACCCATTTTTTGAGGCTATAAAAATATCTTCTCTTGACTATAGTCAAAATAAATGATCTTAGGGGCTTTGCATGCTTCCAGACTAGTTTGTGTGAGTTTAGTTCCCTGGACTGTCTAACCGTGAGACTCAGTGAGGTGCACTAAGAGATGGTAGAGACTGATTATGTCTGGACTGTGTGGCTATTTTCTACTTATGCACTATTAAGCATATTGCAGTGATGAAGATGTGACTGCACCATGGCCTAATGTCCCTGCAGTAGGTGAATGTAACTGCTGCTCATTTGGAAAAATGAAAAAAAAGACATTTTCATTGCACCCATATATCCTTGGATGGTGCACGTTCCCTGGAGAGAAATCATTTGTGATTGAGCCATCAAATCTGAATCATACTGTGTATGCATAGTCAACCCATTTCAATATGCTTGACATCTCTGCAATGTTACACAGATTTGT